GAGCAGAATTTGAATAATATACTCTCCAGTGAGAAGCCATATAGTTGATTGGGTGATGGCAATCTTGCTTTTGTCCCATGTTCTTCTCTAGCAGGAGGTCCCACTTGATTGGCATTCTGTGGTGTCCATACCACATCCCTGATTACTAAGGTGTTTCCATCTCTGCCTAAAACACACGTGAAGAGCTGCAGTCCCGCTGACTCCTGTTTGTGCTGTCATTCATGCTTATCTATTATTTCCGTAGCTCCTGGTTCCACCCTTGCTGACTTTGCTTCACATTTTCTTGTTTCCATGTAAAATTTGACAAGGCTGCACATTATCACTTGTTCCTTTCCCTCCTCCTGGAAGCAATGCCAGTAACTGTCATTCATCCTGAATGAGGAAAGCTGCTGTGTTTAGAGCTTACTGTAATAATTTAAAGCTATTGCTTGGTCGCTTTTGATCATTTGGTAAAAGCCAGTCTTTGAATAAAAAGCAGCATAGAACAAAATTTTTGGGTTTTTTGGAGGGATGGGGATGGGAGTGGTGTTTCAGGCCTTAGCTGTCGAGTGTCCTCCCACTCTGGGCAGTGACCAGCCTAGAGCAGAGATTCAAGCAGATGGCACCTGGTAGATAACTATTACAAGCTGCTCTACAAGATGTTTAGAAACCGTGGGTGATATTAGGGCAGTAACTACCATCTTTTTTTTCAGGTTGGGGTTTTTTTTTGGTGGTGGTGGTGTGTAGGAGGGCACCTCCTACAGTGGTGGTGGTGTTGTTTTTGGAAAAGTTATTACATCAAGCTTTCCCTAAGATGATGATCTACAGAACTGTGTTTTATGACAGTTTTTATTGTGTGATAGTGAAATACAGAAGAGTCCTGAAGAGCAAAAAGCTTAACCTGAAGTTTTTCTTTCTGTATAAGGTCATCACCTCAGGGCTGCTCTCAATGACTTCTCCCAGTCTGTACTGATATCTAGGATTGCCCTGACCCAGGTGCAGCACAATGCACGTATTGAACTTCATGAGGCTGATGTGGCAAAAGTTATCTAAAGCTAGTAATAATTTGCAGAGAATTTATTATCGCCATTTTAGAGACTAAGTGCTTTGTCTGTTTTGTCATGGAAAGTACTTTTCTTGATACATTCAGGAAGCAGAGAAAAGAGCAAAAAGAAAAGTGTGCGAGATGCTGAACACCATGCCTTGGTCCTGTCCACAAAGTGGCTTCAGGGGTGGCAAATGATAAAGCTTTGTGTCTGTCTTCCCAAGAGATCACAGGCTTCTCAGCCTCTGTGAGCGAAGCTTTGTCTCTCTCTCCCCTTACCTCTCACTAATAGCCAGGGAAAGCTGATCAGCCCCCATCTGCGGCCTCCCCAAGATTGTTCTCTATGGTGAACTTGCCACCGGCTGCTGCAAGAGAGGAGCCCCAAAGAAAAGATACAAGGACTCCCTGAAACAACATCTCAACCTTGAATGTATTGATCACCATAACTGGTCTACTCTGGCCTCCAGTCAGGAAGCCTGGAGACACACCATTTATAACACTGCTGTTTCCTTTGAGAACACCCGCAGGATCACTCTCGAGGAGAAAAGACAATGCAGAAAGAATCGTGTCTTGCCGTTACCACCTAAGGAGTCCTTTTATTGTGCCTTTTGCAACCTGCCCTGTCTATCTCCTATTGACCTTTTTAGCCACCAGCACACTTGTAGCAAATGTGGGTAGAACCCTTCCCAAATCTTCGTTCCTGAAGCCTAGCCATGACATTGGGTTCTGTCAAAGCCTGAAGATTGCATCTCTTTTGAACAAGGGGTCGTCTTCTTCATAGCTCATACCTTTCTAGATAGGAGTTTGTTTTTTTAAAATACAGTGCTAATTTCAATTGTTGTTTCAAAGTCTTGGGCAGTGGAGGTGCTAATTAAATGAAGAGGTTTGAGATCAGGTTAATAACCAGGCAGAGAAATTGGCATGAAGTGACAAAGGACATTAACAGTGTTCTTTGTGTGAGTGTAGTACACAGTGAACAGCTGAGGATCTGATAATGTTTTGTGCTGGTGCCTCCAGAGTCTTTGGAGGTTTTTGTCTGGTTTTGATACACAGGCAAACAAGAAAAAGCAAGGTTTTTTTCTTTTCTGTAGTAATCAACTAAACACTACCAAGGAATATTTATTCCTCAGTACCTAAAAGCACGATTATCTGCACAGGCAAATTACTCAAACAATCCTTAGCAAGAATTTTGGACTGTGCCATCTAGCCTTTCCCAACCACTTTTTCCACTGATGAGGGATTACCGTGGTCCAGCAACGGTGCCCAACAGGCAGGTTGAGCTTTGCCTGCTCTGAAACCTCAGGATGTACAGGCCAGCTGCCCTCAGTGTCAGAGAGTTCTTCTGGGCATATTAAGTCATGTGTATAGACTGTAGCTGTTAAGAGTTGGAAGAGTTTCTGTATTTATGCTGAATCCTGTGGTCAGGAACATTCAAGGTGATGCCCCTTCCTGAAGAAAGTTACCTGTTGATCATTTGTACCCTGTCAGCTTTAAAATGCTACTAGTTTGATGTCTGTAAGATTACACAACAGCCCTTCCACTTTCAGAGCAGCTGTAGATATGGGATATTTGTAAGGCATGTGTAGCTGCATAGCCACAGCTGTTGTGAACCTCCAGTGTCTTGAAGTGAAGTTGGTATGTTGCTTCTGCAAGGCAGTATTTGTTCTGCTTTCTTTATGAAGAATCAAAATCCATCAGTTACTTTACAGCATGTTTTTATAGCTGATTTTGCAATGTAGTAGTCATTATCACCATTTTTAATCTGTTGACCCTTCACGGCTTGGGTTGCTTCTTGATGTGAAGTTGCAAAGGAGTTGAATGTAATGTTTGCAAAATGCTTTGAAGATGAAAAGCTCCACAGTAGGTTTTTATTATTACCAGAGGCAAAGTGAGCAGGAGTGGCTTAATGTTGGACTGTTCATTTCCCAAGAGATGGCTTTGTTTTGAAAAGTGCACATTATCAATTGGATTGTAGACAAAATTATTTTATTTCAATCCTGAATATAAATAAATTGGCAAACTTTCTACCTTTATATTATTTGCATGAGATATTTGTAGAAGAGCAGAGCATTTATGGTACTGCCTATGGCTCTGTTCTTAGCTTATGTTTACTGAAGCATTTTTTAAAATGTATTTGGCTTCTACGGTCCAAAGGTATTTTGAATCCAATCCATTCACACATCCTTATATATATATATATATCTATCTCCATATATTTATAACTGTATGATACATAGATACATTTATTTGAGAAATATATGTATTTGAGATATATATTGCTCTTCAAAGATAAAATAAGTTCAGCATGTGAATTTAAAAAAGTGACCGGCATTCAGAAATGGTGATGTTTTATTAGAGTTTTGATTACAGGCAATTTTTCACATGTTCAACCTCTCACATGTCTTCTTTTTTTTTTTTTTTTAATAGTGCTTTAAATATTTCTTGAAGCATTTTTATTTCCAGCCTGTACCTACATCATAAACTTACAGGTGATTGTACAGAGACAAATAAAAAGTAAAAAATGAGCTGTTTGACAATTCTGAAGCTGCTACTGTTTCCTTGCGAGTTAGAGAAATGATGGAGCTGCATCGTTCAAATGGAAATTGAGCTGCTAAACCAGGGGACTGCTTCAGGGACACCCGATGTCCTCACGTGGTTCGTTGTCTCCCTTGACCTTGCAGCGGGTCATTGCTTCTAAGCAGCAGCCTTGTTTTGACAGAGCTGTTTTGTGGTGTCAGCACAGGGTGCCTTTGGGGAGCCCTGGCTGGCACAGCCGGGATTTCTGGAGCAGCTTTGTCTGTGGAGGGGCTGCTGGGCTGCGGCCAGGCGGGAGGCACTGCATCCCTGCAGCCTTGAGTGCTCTGCCTCGCACCCTGCAGCTGCAAAGGCTCTGGGCTCCTGTCTGGCACTTGCAGAAATCATTGCGGAATTTGCTGATTCTGCCAGATGCAAGCTAAACACTTGTTCCCAAGTGGTGTGTCCCATCAGTACAGCTGTTGGTTATGAAAAACATGCAGTGGCTTTCATCCGTAATAATACAGCTTTGTTGAAGTATTGCAAGCTTAAAATATTGTGAGCAATACTCTGAAGCAGGACCTCCTTGCTCAGCCTACAGGGAGCTTTATTCCCTGTGCTTCAGTTAAAATGCTCGTTTATTGTTGTCACTAATGTCAGAGGTGGGGAGGGAGGGAGGGGAAATTTTCCCTCCATACTGTCAGTAAGGATTAACTACAACTGGTGGGCAGTACTTTCAAAATATTCTGGCCTATTTACACAATAAAACTGATCAGAACAAAATAAGCCGTTCTGGTCAGTGGCTGAATGCTGTATTGTGGCAGCTGTATTTGGCAGCGGATTTTCTCATCATTTTTCCAGTGTAGACAAAAACCTGAATGCTGCAGAAATCTTAAGCAGTACAAGCAGATAATACCCCTACTGAATAACTTGTTTCTCCAGTTGCCTTTTGGGGAAACAGGACAATTTGGCTGTAATTCAGTTGGAACAAATGCTTATGAAGCAATGACAAAAAAGCATATGAGTAGATTTATCATTTTACCATGTAGGGAAATAAATAATTTCGTCATTTCCAGCAAGCCATGGTATATACCTGTGAGACGGTGGATCTCTCTCCAAGGTATAATCTCTGCAAAGAAGCATTAGATAGGAATTGTGATAGACCAAAAATTGTTGGTTTCCTGCTTGGGTTTTATTTTTTTATTTTGTAAACAACTGTAGTGGGTACTTGCAATTACCTCCTCATTTTTATGTGATATTCTCTAAGGAATTAATTGAGAGAAATGTTTGGGCAACCATTCCATATTTCCTGAGTCATAGATTTTTGGTAGTTTGGAAGATAAAATTGCCTGACACTCAAGATAGGAAATATCTCTTTCTATCTTGCATCTTGAACTCAGTTTCTGAAACTACTAAAAGGAAGCCTTTTTAAACTTGTCTTTTTTTCACACTTCCATTTTAGTGATAGTCCCAATGCTGTCCATGAGGTGGAAAAGTGGTTACCACGACTGCACTCAGTTGTCATAGGACCTGGCTTAGGTAGAGATGAAGTTCTACTTGAGAACGCTAAGGTAATATGCATACTGATATTTTATCCTTTGTCTTTATGTTGAATTTTATTAACTAGTTTCCTGTATTTTACATCACTACAGAAATGTTCTTGATAGGGTTGCTAAATGACAAATTTAATAAAATATTGTTGACTGGAAATTGCAGTTACTGTTCATGGTCTTCACTATTACACTTAATCTTCACTTGGAATTTTAGGCATCAGTATGATTGTTTTGATTTGCTTTTGTTTTGCTTGTGAAAGTCACTAATGAAGAAATAGATGTTGGCATATCTAGATAAAGGGCTCTGTGTTTTCTTAGGTGCAAAGCACCTGTACTGTAAGTGCATAGATATGGATTCGATTTCCTTATTTTCAGTACCATATTTGACATCTTTTCTCAGATGTGTCAAAGAACAGGGACCGTGTCCCCTTGCAATAAGAAATAATACTCTTAATTATAAAATGTTGCGGATTTCTACTCTGGATAAAGAGGTAATCCTATTTTCTGTCAAGCCTCAGTGGAGAGATGAAAACAGGAGCTTAGTTTTGTACTTTAAATAACACATACTTAGACTGTCTTCCAGATGATGTTTTGTATTACCGTCAACACATTTTGGTATGTTTGAAGTGTATCTTTCAGTCTACTGTCAATCTAATTTTGTACAATTTCTTTTTTTTTTCCCGAGCAGTATTACTGAATTAATCAGTGGTGCTAACAAGTGGAATATATATAATTTACAGAAATGTTGACAGTAACACAGTGAAATTGCAAAACAGGGGAGGCAAGAGTCTGGAGACCACACTGTCCAAGTGTTTTAAAATACCTTGAAAACTAGGGAGGGTGGTTTTGCTAGGATTTTGTTAGAGAAAGTTGCTACTGGAGCTTTTCACTTCTTTAGTTCTTCTGCTTCCTTTTCGGAAGGAAAATGTGTGTATTATGATACAGAGGTGCAAAACTAATAAAGATTAGAAAATAAAAAATAAATTATTACACCTGATGAAGAAATCGTATTTTATTCTAAATGAACTATTTAAACGTATTTTATTATTTTTTAAAAAAAATTTTCAGGATTGCTTCTACAGAAAAAAAATTTTGGTCAATGATTTTTCTATTTCCTTGGTTTAAAAAAAAATTAAGTTTGTCTTCTGTTCCTAAAAGAAGAAAACTTTAAATAAAAGAAAATAAGATTCATTTATAATATCTAAGATACGTCAGATAAACTTCTTTTATATCAGAATTCCATCTGGGGTTTATATGCTTATCTGTACTAAAGAAGTATCTGGGAGATTTCTTGATTGTGTTTTTTTCATCATTGCTAAAAATAATTTTGCTTTCTTAGTGAATTACAAGCATACTTTTACTTCAGCCTGGCTGTCCTGTGTAAGCTAGCTTAAAGAAACAAACCCAGCCTATAAAGACAAGGCATTTGGAAGTTACTTCATGCTAAAATCTCAGGATACATTCATGTGAGCCAAGGATCTGGCCTTATTAATTTCAATTCCCATTAAAGCTCAAGTTCTTTGTCTTCATTCTAGTTATGTAAGTGTTCATTAGTTACCCAGTGTTGTGGGTTTTAACATGTCACTGGGGACAAGTGACCCCTGTTTGCCTGCTTAAGGTAGACCGGTGCTTCTCTGTGCTGAGGGAAGGCTGAGTCTCCCTCTTGCTTCAACAGCAAATATTAAACTTCAATAAAAAAGCAAGAGATGATATCATTGCTGTTTAAAACTCTTATAGGAGATTGGGCTGGTATATAATTTTCTGGTTTCCCTTTAAGCTGACCATGGCATGTGTCTTAGGAACACAGGGCTGAGAAGTAGGTGAGTGTCTGCTTTCTGATCAGGGTTTTGTATCAGAGTGGTAGTTTCAGTGGGAGAGAGCTTCCCCTCTTCCTCCTTCTGCCCCATTAAATGCTGAGGCATGGTGGTCTGTCACCCCTCCGAAGCTGTTTTTATGTCTGTTCTTGTCAGTGTTGTGCCAATGCATTGCCAATGAATGTGATTCTCTAAACAGTCATGTGTTTGGACTCCTTCTTTCCTATGAACATTGAGAAATTAAGAAATTACTGCAGTAACCTGCAGTTTCTGGTGCTTGTTGACCAGGTGGTTTATCATCTCTAGATCAAAGAATGCTTTGCTTCCTCAGCATCTTTAGTATGTCACCTGCCTCCCTCATTCTTAATGCCTGCAGCAGCATGTGGCACTTGAGCTCCTTTCAACAGTCTGATTAAAAAAAACCCCACCTTGTCATCACTTTCCTTTGACTTCTTTTTTTCCCCTTGAGTGCATAGTGATATTCTGTAAATACATACTTACTGGCTTCCTCTGATTTTCTGGGTTTGGCTGTAATTCCATTTACAAGTCCTATTATAAGAAACCACTCTGCAAGTTATATCCTGCTTTCATGTGCCGCTTGTGTGGGTCTGTGCCAGTAACCCTGCTGTTACTCAGTTGCTTGGGTGAGGGCTGATGCTCTGTCCAAGCTTCCTAGCCATGGGTTTGAATGACCAGGAGCGGCAGCTTCAGGAAATTATCCTAAAGAAAGCATGTGTTGTGTCCTAATAGCTGTGCAGCTGGATTCCTTGCAGATGTGGCAGTTGTAGTCTTGGCCTGATTAGACCTTCCAACTCTGGAGCAAGTAAGCAGTCCAGGCTGTTTCTCTTCAAGAGAGAGGAGTGAAAACAAATTTCTGCTCCACTTCTCAGCTTTGGAGTGTGCACACTGAAGCATCTCTGCTCCCCATACTACTTCAAACTTCTGAAATGCTGTTACCATATTTGATGTGGAACTTGGCCACCATGTCATCTTCCCTGTAGGAAACATGAGGCCACCCGTTTCTCCCTTTCAGTGTCCATGATTGATTCTGGCCAGAGATGACAGTACATTACCTCCCTGAGTTCACCTCAGTTGGAATGCTGCTGCTAGTGGTTTAGACTGTTGAGAAAGAGTTTAGCTGCCATATAGGAAGCAAGGCCAGGGTCTCTATGACTATCCTCTGTTTTGAATCTGCAACGTATTTCCAAAGGTATTGGATACTCTCCTTTTTTCAAATAGCACAAATATTATGTCCCTCTCATACCTACCCATCATAATGTTCTTCATTCAGCTCTACTGGGGATGTTTGCACTTCTGTCTTACTCTGATCTGATTTTCCTTGTAGCTGAGGCTTGGAAGTAGGGAAATTTCTGCCTGTACCATCTAGAGCTGTTCCTCTCCTGGAGGATGATGAGTGCAGCTTCCGAAAGCACTTTGGAAAACTTCGATATTCCTTGCATAGCCTCGTGGGAGAGATGCTGCCTAATGCTCAAGGATGTTCTGCATTCTGCTGCCACCTAGCAGTTAGGCAGTTACAGGCTGAGCTGTGTTCTTTATCAGTTTCCATCCTTTTGACATCTCCTTTCCCCTGTTTCTTCTGGCTTTATGGTCAAATGGACTGATACGGGATTGTTGGTGGAACAGCAGTTACTGTTGGGATCAGGTAGAGAGAAGCACTCATCCTTATGAAGAGCTCTGTTCCTTAACAGAAGTCTTTGATGTTGGAATCTTCTTTGCCTGTCACCGGGTTCCTTCTCTCTCTCCCTGAAGTGCTAGCACTGAATCCTGGACTCTGGTACTTCAGACTTGCTATGTTTTGCTTTGCAGCAGCAAAGGTAGCTTGCTGTTTTCAGCAGTGCATGCTTGCTTCCCTCCTGTGAGAGAGGTAATGATTAATAGTAAGAATGGCTCTGTGTAATTCAGATTACACGATAAAATTGACCGGTTGCTCAAACTATGTGCTTGTTCCTCTCACTCAATTTTCAGTCTTTGTTTTAGCTCCCAGAACACGTCAGGAATACCAGCCTGGGTTTTTCTTATGGCTGAGGCCCTGCCTAGCTGCCATTTGTGCCTACTGCTGTTGCTGTTTCTCTTCTCTCACCCCCCTTGCCTTGCAACACTGCCCTCAGCCAGTCATTTGCCCTTAAAGATCTCTCCTATCTCTTGGGATATAAATTTCAGAAATCTCATTTTCCGACCCTAGTGACATCATTGTGAGTATGGCCAGTCTTCACGAGCGAAGATTTGGGAAAGGTCATTAACCCTTTGGGCCTGCGCAGTGGATTTTTTAGGTGAGACACAGCGTGCGCTGAACTGAGCCCACCCTTTAATCCTGAGGTTCATCTGCCGGGGCAGAGCGAGCTTGGACAGTGGCAGTGAGGGTCTCAGGACGTGGGTTTGTAAGGTTGTGTTGAAAGGTTGTCTGGTCTGTAGTTAACATGGTGAGAGAGTTTTGGGCAGTTGTCACGGGATCACCTCCATCGAGTGTGGCCAGAGAGAACCCATTTGAAATTGTCAGATAGATGGATTCTTAGTACCACCTTGATGGAGGCATCAGCCTTTCTGTGTTTGGTTAGTTGGATTAGTTTCCCCCTTTCAAGTCTCATGTTTTCAGGATTTAGGCAACACTTCATAGCCTTAGTAAATTGTGAGAATGGGACCAGGTGCTTCCCTACGCTATCTGCACTAGTTTTTTACAAGATCAAGAGGACTATAGAATACAGGGCCACTTGTCATAGCTGTCTGTTAAAACTAGATCTGCCACTATGGACCTTGAAGAACATTTTCCACTTGATATCTGAGCAGCCCCCCACTCCATTTGTACTAAGACACCTGAGAAGCATCCCAGGCTAATGCTGCAGCTGACAGATTAGTCATACTGTCTGTGGTACCCACCACCATGCCCAAATATGAACAGGATTTATTACTCTTTAGAATCACTGCTCGTGGCTACTCAAATTAGCAGAATTATTATTTTCCAAACTTCGTTCTTCAGTGTGTGTCACATGCTTTTGCTTCTTTCCCTGTTTATACCCTCTGGAGGTTCTCAGTGTGGGAATTCAGCAGTTCCTAGGGAACTGAAGTAGCACTTCCTATTCTCAGCACTCAGCTAGGAGGAGATGAGGTAGATTGGGTCTTTTGGCTGTGGTACTTGTTATGACCCACCCCAGAAGGGGAGGGTAACCCAGGTTCTTGTTAGTAAAT